TAACACACAAGGCAACAGGACGGGTGTACCATTGTTTTTCGGCCTCGCTGAACTTGTTCCGAAAAACGTTTTTTTATATGAACAAATAATAACTTGCTTTAACAAAACTTCCAAAAATTTTGAACGTCATAACATTTATTGATATTACTTATTTCCTAATTATCATTTCAGGCGTTCTTTCGATGAGAAGCAGTAGGTCAAAATGACGGTTACTTGTCGTTGAAGTTGTTTCCTGGAAAATGGTGACTGAATTATTGTAACGGGTAATCGTAATGGAATTGTTTAATGGTAAAATAATAAAAAATAATAAAAAAGAACAAAGGAACCTCATGACAATGCGAACTTTCTTAAGAATTGGGGAGCGTAGCTTTTGATCACCCCTCTACTCCAAATATAGTTAAACAGATTTTCTGCGCAATCTGAGTTTGATAACGTTTTTCCTATTTGCGCGAATCCAAAAGCGGCGTTTTCTCGCGAGCACAGTCAATCGTTTACGTCGGTCACACGAACCCAAAGGTTTTGTGTGACTGACGTAAACATATAATTAGTTTATGAGCAGGTTTAATACCTCCAGGTGCTCAATATTTTCGGAGCACTCCTCTACGTCCTACCTCATAATACTTTCACGGTTTTATAACGTTAACGGTTGTGGGACATTAAACGTGTGCAGTTAAAATGACGCTCAGATGGTACGAAAATCTCGTATATGTTATCGTCGGGAACATCTCTCGACTCTCTTGTGGTTACACTCTAACTCATGCTAAACTTTTTAATCTCGTATACTCACAGGCAGGATTGAATTTGACGCCACGTATTCTTGGATTCCCGTCCTAAAATTTCATTTCTCAACTCCAATATCTCGTACGTAGCACTACTGTCTCGCTAACTGTGTCTACATCGCCCTACATAATGTTTACCTTTTAACAAGACAAGGGATTAAATTAAATTAAACACGCCTGTTCCAAAAGATTCCGTATCAACCCAAGCGAGAAGATAGACTGAGCCAAAAATATGGCCTCGCCGCTTCGCTATTTTTCTATTTTATACATGTGGTTCTTTCTTTACTCGATATAGCACGGTATGTGAGACACAACTCAATTACACCGGTAACGGAATGGAGTTTCCATAGGGATCGTCTAGATCTGAACTGGAAGTGGAAAATATTGCGCCGAGCAAATGTCTGGAGACTTGACTGCTTCTAGACAAGAAGGTGTGCGTGAAGTTTCGCATTGGTCTCTTTGTTTGTTTTTGTTAGTTATTTTTTCTTCGTATCAGTTTAACTTTGACTGACTTGGACTCGTAGGATAGCTGGCGGGGCGAGCGCAGCCGCATATGAGTCGCCGTTCTGGACGACTTCTTAGAGAGATAAACATTAAAAAATAGGCCACTACAAGCAAGAAGAAAAAAACAAAACAAAATCTAGCATTGGTTCAGCTCGGCTATGCTTGGATACACGTATCGTGAGCCAAGGAAGCGTCGCTAAACTGAATGTTTCGCGCGTGGCACTAATTACCCTCGTCAAGCCGTTCATAAGCCACAGCCTTTCACACACGTCGCAACACATATCCAAACGTGTTGTTTACGAAGTCCGTCTCAAAGGTCCGAGTCGCACAGCAGTTTTCGCTAAGTTTCACCGTTATAGTCAGTCAATCGCCCTTCTGGCCACGCGCTTTGCTAGACGTTCTTCCCTTTGCACCGGTGTCTCCGCAGCACGTTTATTCTGTTCGTTCTGCCACGGTTCTGGTACGGCCTACGCTCAACCGCTCCTTCCCGGGCAAGTACTTCAGGATCAGATGAGTTAAGCTTTTTCAGTCTTCTGCGTCGCTGAGCATTGATTTTGCTCCGTGGCTATACCGTACCGGCAAACGTCCCGCTCAATATATGTATAGCGCAGCGGTATACGCGACGAAGGAGAGAGGAGTGCCTTGATGTATTCGAGTCACGGGGTGGGAGGCGCACGCAGTCCCTGCTTCTTGCGCATGCGCAGCACGGCGTGTGTATGAGAACGCGAAATTACTCACGACAAAGGTACATAGTAGGTGCTTCTAAAGACGTGCACAATCACGCGGGCAACTTTCAATTTGTTGCTATTGCATTTTGGTTTTGCCCTGGCTGCAAAACTGCGAGGTATTTTTTTTTCGCTTTACTGGGAAGCCTTGTTTTCTTTTAGACTCGACCAACAACAAACAAAAAAGGGGGGGGCTGGGGGTATCACTTCCAGAATGCTCACCCTCCGTCTTACCTCCCTTATTGGAGAAACTTCCAACAAGCCTATGTGAATACACCAACAGTTTCGTGTGATGTGTATTCAGAAGTGTAACGATCAAACAGTGCGTTGCTGTGAGAAGACGTATTACGTATACTGAGACGCGGAAACGAGCCGACGTCGGCACACCGTAACGACGAGGAGTATCCGAAAACCCCGTATGCGTATAGCGCCATCTATCATTGACAAATCAAACAAAAAGAAGTGAGAGAACAGAGAAATCCAAAACAATTCAAGGTAGATGTTAGAAAGACTCTAGGTGTACGTAAGCGCAAAACTACCAAGGTGGGAAAAACAGAAGAGGCTTCCAGAAACTGCGCGTTCTCTGCATCAGCAGGCCCCACAGTGTTTTTTTTTCTTTCTCGCACCGGCGATTCTCGACACTCTTTGTTATTCAAAAAGTAGGGTGCGCGCAAAGCGCTGACCCTTCCCATGAATTATGCGCATTCATCAAGGGCTGAAAGTTGGGGAGTCCCGAAAGAAAATGAAACAAGCGATAGAATACGTAGCGCTCTCATGCTGCCTACAGTATCATGCATTTTCACGTCACTCTGAGGACCTACAGTCACCTGCCCTGCGCGTCCTAACCTGCTTGTCACTCCAACCCATCCATGCGCACACCTTTTCTTTCTTTCTTACTTTCCTCCCTTCTTTCTTTCTTCCTTCCTTTCATTCTTTCTTTCTTTTGTTCGTTCGTTCCTTATTTTGTTTTTTACTTCTTTTTGTTTCTTTTTTCTTCATTCTTTTCTTTCATTTATTTATTTATTTGTTCTTACTTTATTTCTTTCTTCCTTTTTGTTTCTTTCGTTCTTTGTGTCCTTCTTTCTTTCCTTACAGCCGCTCACTCACACACAGGCCTGCGACTCTGAGTTCATACTATCGAGGGTTCGGCTGAGGCTGCATTCAATGAGACTGCACTTCATTTTTTTTTCTAAGTTTCTCGATAGTTCACTTCCCATCCATCCTGGGAGCATTCAGATGCATCGAATTCCGACTGGACGGCAAAAAGTGCGCGAAGGCGCGGAAAAAAATCCCTCGAAGTTGGTCTTTGACTTCTTCCAGAAAAGGTTGCGCTTCCCGTGCTTTTGTTCTTCACAACAGATACACATACGCTCACATTATCAGAATTCGAAGCAAGGGATGCACTGTTTATTTTAGAGAACGTGTATTTTCTCCTTCAGAAGAAAAGCGCGAGCAATAGTTCTTCGCCTGAGTTTGCTCGAAGCTCAGGCTTTCGCACCGGAATGTTGAATCATCCTCTTTGCCTCTGCGCCTGGTGAACAAAAATGCAAAAAATATAGAAAAGGAAACTAAGACTGTCCATCTTTGTATTTCACTTCCGGTCTGCATTCGTCGAGGCTGCATGGTGTTTGCCGGCAAACACAACACCCGTGTACTGAATGCAAGAGACTATAGCATTTGAATACAATATCCACCTCGTGCATTGGAACCAACTTTCACAGGCTCTAGTTTTCGATTCATTCATAAGTGCAGTCTGTAAATGTTATTTCTTTGTCGACATGGTATTTTACTATGTGAGCATCCATACTTTTTCTTGTGAATATTCTATAATATGGCATGTTTGCTGTGTTAGTGCTATTTTTTATGTGAATTCTTCGCGGCGCACTGTTTGTTTTGCACGAAGGATCCAGTCAACGAAAGTGCTGGAATGAGTAACCAGCTAATAAGATTTAACACGCACGCACCCACGTACGCGCACAGACACACACACACACACACACAGAGAGAGAGAAAGACCGACATAATATTAATGAGAACAAACAAGCAATGATGTCAAGAATATTATAAGGTACCTATACTTTCCTTGGCATTTAATTGTCTCTTAGTTCACATCATTATTGGGTCAAACAATAAAAAAAACGTGACATTTAATTTGCACTTTTCTTCCCGCACCAACACACACATGCACACCAAGGAAAACAAAAAAAAAGCATGCGATTACAATACGGTGATGAAACGTAAAATTTTTCTTGTCCTGCATCGTTGAGAATGTGACAGTTTGTAATACGTCAAGGTGCGGTTCAAAGATGAACGAATAATGTTTTTTGCGCTGCTTTATGACTCTTGTACTGTTTGTTAACTAATAATGATGGGGCGCAAATGTCACGACTAATCTTTAAGGGTGTAGGCTGTTGGTAATAAAAGTTCACACAGCGAATTTTAAAAAAAAAAAGTGGCACTGGAGAGAGGTTGGTTAAGCACATTTGTCACTAAAGGGAAATCCTCAAAGCTTTCGACTGAAAATTATTAATTGAGCAGCATGCCTTATTGAACATGCACCGTAGTAATGATAGATTCCACCATCGGCCAGGTGGCGCTGACTGACGCGCCCATGTTTAAATTCACTTATATACCCTTTAAAGCGGACGGAGGAATGGCCGCCACTGTAGCTCAGTGGTAGAGCACCGGACGTGTTATTCCAAGGCCGCAAGTTCGGTCTGCACCAGCGGCAGGCTATAACTATTCGTCCGCTTTTCTTTCTGCACGTTTACATTACAGTTACTTCTAATAACATCCCCTATACCTTTCTTAGCATTATTGTCGGTTAGTTCTCATTATTATTGTGTCCAACAAAGAAACGAGCCCTAAAATTTACAGTTTGTTCCTTTCTTTACTGCAAGTCGGTTCCCTGAACAAAAGTGTGGGTTTATGGTTACAAATTTCCTCGTACTAATCGAGCACCTTTTCTTGCTTTTGTTTTTTGCATTTGCAGGCGTGCTGGTATTCTGGTCGCCATTCCACGACCCCCGTGTGCACGAGAACGCCCCGCCTGGTGTCCACGTGACCACGGTCCGGGCCCTGGACGAGTCGGCTCCGGGAAAGCCCGTGGCGTACAGTCTCCTAGACGTCAAGGACTTCAATCACTTTCACCTGAATCACGTTACCGGAAACCTGACCACGGCCAGAACAATCACGAGGAAGGTCGGCGACAAGTATGTGGTCAGTATAGCAACAATATTCCGCACATTATTTCAATATGAACTCTACAGGTGGCCGCTCATACTTCCCTTACCCATAGTTTACACTCAAGCATCCGCTTTCTACAGCGAGTTAAATTACCCTGTCTTAAACACATAGTGTTTTGAAAACACACTGGACTTACACCGCACCGCCGATTACGCCGAATAGTCATAGAGCGCCATTTGCCGAGCGAACAATCAACTAGGGGACGAGCACGGGGTGAATGCGCTGTTCCCCAGGTGTTGTCGGTGGCTGGCAACTACAGTGCACCCGGGAAGAGTTAAATTCTCTTGTTTAGCGCGTTTCACTGCTCGTTGCGACTCTGGCGAGAAACGAACTGCATCACAAGCTGCTCGCGATTTAACGAGCAAAGCAACACAGGCACATGTACTCGTACTTACCAGGGAATCCGAGCTCATTTCTTATAATATTACTCAAGTTGTCTTTTAACAAGCTGTTCTTGTGCTTGTGGTAGCGTTTGTCGTATCGTATGGGGTGGTTGCGCACCAATTCAATAGGCATTTCATTTAAGTGCACTTTAATTGACTGTGACATGATTAGCGAGCCGGACTTGGCTGACATTTTTTTTTCAAACTCCTCTGCTAGCGCTACCATTGGCTCGCGGCAAGCCGGTGCAACGGCAGACGCCGCAAAAATCGGTCCGAGAGCCGATTAGCGGGGATGGGCTCCTTTGGGCGGATCTCCCCACCTCCAAATCGGATTCAGCGCGCTTTCCACGTCCGGAATGCTCAGTGTGAACCAAGGAGGATAAGTAAAATTGCTGGGGTGGAAATGATTGCCCAAGAGTGAAGTCGTCCCTCGGTCAAGATGGCGATTTCGGCAGCCATCTTACTAGGGGGATGATGAAGTATCACCGTTCAGCAATTAAGAGGGACAGGGAAGTTTATTGCAAACTAGTAAACACGTTTCAGGTGAGTACAACTGTCTGGTTTACAAAACACTTCAGTGGCGTACGGAGAGTTATCCTCGCACGCCCAGCTAGTGTAATGTGGAAACTTTTTCGGGTCACATAGTGCTCCAAGTGCGTCTTTGTGTCACTGATTTTCCTTTCTAAGCCTCTAATTGGAGGCAACGTTCCTTGGAGATTCAGTCACCCATACTCGTTGCTGTGCGTTATTTTGTCTAGAACAACCATCTTTAAATATTGAACTAACGTAGCGTTTACATTAACCTATCAAAGCCACTTGGTCTTTAGGTGGGCACTACCTGAAAAGAGCATGTTTCCACCAACTTGGCAGTGGTAAAAGCTGGCTGCACTTCTGCTGGCTAGGCATCGCGGGAGCAGGCTACTTCAGCAATTTTTCTTTAATCTTCCTTGGTGTGAACGAAGCATTAGTGTTGTCGTGATTACGTGTATCTTTCTTCTTTTTCCAGCTTTTTCTCCTCACTTGCCCCTCCCCCCACTGCACAATAGAAAACATGACGTACTTCTGGTTTACCTCCTTGCCTTGTTTTGAATCTCACCCTTCTTTCCATAAAACGTCTTCAGACATGAGCACATTAAAATGATAGGTGTAACCATAAGAGAAAAGAAGAGATAAGGGTGGGCCTGGAAACAAGCATGTGTTAGCGGAATTGGAGGCGATATGAAAAAGTCGCAGCCTAAATTATGCATTCGCCTAAAACGACTCAAAGGCGAAAGAAAACTTATTTTTCGTTGTCGATGAACTGATGTCAACTACAGACTTAGGCATACGTTTCTTCCCTGTAGTGCTCTAAATATATGGATGGTATACAGCCAGGCTGTCCTCGCTCTTATAACTCACGTTGCACTTTGCAACACATGCTGTGGCAATGGCCTGCCCTGTGCGAGAGCTCCAGGTCTCCCTCAACGGAGGAGGACTGGCGATCTCTTCTCACAAGTAACGAGAAGGAAGACCAGCTTCGGACTATCCAGAGAGCCCATGACATGGCCGAGGAGATGCATCTATGCATCTACCCGTCTCGTCGTGGGTGTGGCCCGCCGATGTCGCCCCCTAAGGGGGAGTGGGCATCGTCTCCGCATCAAAGTTCTTTGCCTGCCTGCCTGTCATCCCTCTCATTAGTCTATCTGCACCTAACGTGGCTTTGTCTATTTGTCATTAGTCTATTTGCACCTAACTGCCTCCGGGATAGGAGCGCATTTGGTCAATCGAAGATATCATGTAATGACGTCGTTATGAGAAGGCACGTCTTGTTATGCAATAGTAACGTCGTTATTACGTCACAAACGTCGTCATCATGATGTCGTTTTGTAGGAACATCGTCGCACAATGAGTTCTTTTTTCCAACCCACTTTCTCGTTTAAGGAGGCACATAAGACTCTCTCCTTGGAGTGAGAAATGAGCATGGACAGGGAATATAGCGAGAAGGCAAGTTGACAGCTGGTCATGTAGATTGACTGAATCGTTTCCGAAACAAGAGAAGTGCGTGACAAGGTGGCAAAGTGGGCAGACGAGGCTTAGAACATTGCGGGGATAGCTTGGCCGCAGAAAGCACATAACCCGGTTCATTAAAGAAACATGGGAGAATAATTGCCGTGTAGTGGGCGTAGTCAGGCTAAGACTGGTGATCACGTCATCTCTTCTTTTTTCAAGGACGGAAGTGCGGGCACGGATAGCACCGTGAAATGATAAGTTGCTTAAGAAGAAATTTCACCTCAGCCGACGTTTATATATGAGGATGTGTCTTCTTCAGGAAAAGAGAAGACCTTTTTCGTCAGAACGTTGGCTCCAGCAGCATTGCTTGCTCAGCCGCATTCGATTGCCGGCAGGATACGGGTTCTTGACGGCTTGCCCTAAGGTCGCGGGATCGAATGCCGGCCGCGGCGGCTGCATTTAGATTGAGGAAAAATGCTGCACACCCGTGTCCTTATATTAAGGTGCATGTCATAGAACACCAGATAGCAAAAACTTTTGGAATCCTTCACTGCGGCGTCTCTTATAATAATATCGTGATACCAGGTGCATACATTGCCGATAAACTTTCAGAAGCAGTATTTAGCAATACTTGAGCTCAAACCCTGGCCCTGTCCTACAGTATATATTATAAACGTCCTAAGTGTTCAGCACTACTTTATACGAGCCATGATGTGCGCCTTAAATGCACTTTCGAGAAAAATCCGAGACTATCGTTTGCACAGCTTCTGTGCGGCGATAGCAGTCAGTGAACTTAGGGGCACTTTGGGTTCGGTTATGGAATATGAGCTGCCACGGCGCTCTTTGGCGAACTACTTAGTGCGTCAGCTGCTCACGACAGGCGGCTAACGTAGCGACTGCAGGCTGCTAGCTGTCGATGACCTTAAAGTTCTCTCGTAGCTGCTGGGGGTGAGAACTTTCGATAGCGTTTCGGGCAGATTATCGCTGCGCAACCCGTTTCAGACGTGTGATTGGAAGCGAGCGAAACTCTCACTTCAGCTGCTTAAGGTCTAAATATAGTTCTGAAGCGTAAACTGGCTAACGAGAGCGCAGTGTACGGAACAAAGTTGGAGGGAGATTCGGCGTCAGCAAGCACACCGAGCAAGTCATGTTTTTCTCGTGTATTAAGGATTCTAATAATGGGCTGTTGTTTTGTGCATCGTGAAGGCAGTTACAGTAAAGTTTTAACAAGGGAGAGTATGATTTGTTTTCTTGAATCTCGTCCTAAAAGAGCGCAGTACAGGAAAACTCAAAGTTATGAGATAGCACGAATAGAATAAAAAGGTCTTAACGAATGCAGTTGAACGGGTGGACAAGAGATAGTTTTAATGAATTGGTACGGAATTCAGGGAGCAGAATGTTAGAAAATTCATGAAATAGAACGGCTCGTTTGGTCGGTACAGCCTGTAATTCTTCAATAAACGTGTCGAAATTACCAAATCGATCAATCTGTTCAACGTACCCAAATCAGGTAGGGAAATTGATACGTAACTTGATGCCGTACACTTCTGCAATTTTAAACTATGCGAATGGATTCTTCTGGAAATAGTAGCAGATATGCAACAATTCGTTAGCTGGAGAGATGAAAGAAATTCGGCAAAAATCAGAAGTGTATTGTCTTGATCACAAGTATAGTCTTGATCAGTTCGTTAAAAACCGCATATTTCTGCACTGCATTTCGTCATTTCGCTTCACTCTTTTCGTGACACAAACACCCAAACAACAAGGCAGGCGTTCTACAATGTAAGCCACTTTTCTGTGTTGTACGAGCTTACCCCACTAGGGGTTCATGGTCGCATCCTTCAATGGATTGCCAACTTCCTGCGTAACAAGCAAATATACATTTCTATGCCAATAATGAAGACAGTGATCGCATCAACAAGAGCAGAGGTGTACCCCGAGGAAGCGTTCTAAGTCCGCTTTTTTGAATGCTGCAATGGCAGGTCTTCCAGAAGGGCTGCCCGAAGCCTTGAACATATCCATGTATGCAGACGACATATGCGTATTGACGTCCCACAAATCAGTGGAAGTTACCAAACATCGGCTTCAGCAAAGAGTAAACGCAATTAGTGACTACCTCAAAAAGCGAGGCATGCAGATTTCTCACGCGAAATTGGTAGTTCTGCCATTCACGAGAAAGAAAGTGAAAAACTTAAAACTTCTTGTGAACCATCAGAGAATCAAAATTGCACAAAAGCATCGCCTCCTTGGTGTTACATTAGATAGTCAGCTTATTGCTGATCTAGAAGATCGAGTGACCTGCACTGTATATGTTATAACGTCGCATAGCAGGAACAAAACGGAGCGGTACGTCAGCATCTCTACTCCACGTCTATTGTGCACTAATTCGACAAAAGATTGCCTACTCCGCGCCAGTTTCTCCACAACATCTCTCAGGACGTCTCAACACCGACTTCAGCTGTTACAAGCACGAAGCTTACGCAAATGTCTAGGGATTCCACTGGCAACATCAAGTTCTCTCGCACTGGCAGAAGCAAGAGAACCCAACTTTAAAGTAATTAGAAATGTTGAGACCTGTCGGCACCTCTTTCGTCTAGTCACGCAACACCCTTCACATACGCTCATATCAAACATAGCGGAAATACACCATGTCTACCAACAGTACATTTCCCGGCTTCCTGTGTCGACACATTGGCCACTGGACCAAAACTACGCGCCATGGCTGCTTGAGTTACCTACGCACTCTTGAAACGTCAATTAGCAGAACTTCGCAGAAAACATGAAGAGCCAATCGTTGCCGCACAGCAGTTGGCATCACATCATCTGTTTGCCAGATACCAAGGCTATACGCCCATGTGTACACTGACGGCTCCGTCACCAAAGAGACAGCGACATCAGCATTTATAATTTCGGAAATGAGTGAAGAACACGCACGTCGGTTGGGCTATTTCCCCTCTTCAACAACGTCGGTGCTCGAAGTGATTTTGCTAGCCGTAAGCTTTATTAAACTGTCAACGACACCAAGAAAATGGGTGGTAATTACAGACTCTCTGGCGCCATTTGCATGTGGGGCAAAATTCCACTTCTAGACACATTGATGTGCGTATAGTATACGCTATACCAAAAGAGCTTTCAGAAGCTATAATGTCGAATCATCGAGTAGCATTTCAGTGGGTTCCCAGTCACTGCGGAAACAAGGAAATGTAAATGGCAGATGAGTTGGCGAAAACCGCTCATTCTACGCAAACGTGCCTTATTCCTGTATCTCAATAAGATGCGAATAGAATTTTAAGAACAATAAGACTTGAATTATGCTTGTCTGCCTGGTTCACAGACAAAAAAAACAAATGAATCGATCCTATATGCTGTTGATCCTAATCATGAATGCCAATTAGACCGTGACCTCCCAAGACGTATCGCCACACTCATTCATCGCCTACGACTCGGAACTGCTTACACAAAGCACTTCCTACTTTGCATTCAGCGTTAAACATCGTGAGCGTGTTCATGCGGCCACGACGGCGAGGACATCTATCACCTCTTGCTCGACTGCCCGAAACACGACACACACCGAAGGCGACTCAAACGGGAACTCCATAAGTTATATCCTGAGCGGCCATTTGCGTTGAATAAAATATTAGGCCCATTGCCATCTAGAACAAATGGCAAAGCAAGAAAGGTGCTGCAACACTCTAAGAAACGAAGATTTGTGACCAATACTGAGCGGACTATAGTTAAAAGTGAGCGTGGCGTCTACATGTTTGTTCTGACCATAGGAGCACTTTCGCTCTATATATATGTAGGACAGTATATTTGTATATATGATATTTTGCTTTGTTTGTTTATTTGTCACATTCAAGTGGAAAGGGGTGGCCGTTGCCAAATAACGGTGACAAAAACTCCTTTATTTATTTTCAATTTCAATAAAAAAAGTCAGCGCAGAGACGCAGAAGCTAAAACGAGAACAACGCAAACATTTCCACGAATGTGAACGCGCCAAATGTAAGCTTCCACGCAATCGCGCAGAAAGCACACCAATAAGTGTGGAGCACCAAGAGCACATTCACTCGGCTTCACGTTCCTGTCGAGACGTCTCCACCACAGGCGGCGCTTGTCAAAAAGTGAGCAATTATTCCGAAAACACGGCCGTCGCCTAGCATGCAGATGCAGAGCCACTTTGTGTGCATGATACGCAGAGCAAACGTTTGGACTAGAACGCGTAAACAAGAAAACTAAGAATAAATATAGAAGAAATAAAGACGTAGCTCATTCAGCCTTGAGACACAAACGACGTCTCGGATTGGCACGCTGTCTGTTTTCTTGACGTCCTCGACTCGCTTGACGTCTCGCGTTCTAGTTCTTTTCGTTTTTCTACCACAGTGCTTGTTTTGACGCTGCCAAGGCGACGTTCGCGTCTTAGACGCCCTTTCCAGGGCTTAAGACTACGTTCTGTCTGAATCTAGATGTGTTGGTGACGTAGCAGGGAGGGCGTGGCGTGACGCGGTGATAGCGGCATGCCCCTGCTTTCACAGCAGGCTTCTCCTGTCAGCAACAGCAGTGGTACAGGAGGGTGGCATCGCTAACAAGCGCGAGAATATAGCGTATAAATATCCTAGGACATCGGGAACTTTGTAATGCCGCTGAAATGCCTAGAGGGTGTGCTAGCTAGAAGACAGGAATCATAGAGTGTGTGGCTTTTCGTTTTCTGTCTTTCATGGTTATAACGATCTTTCCGTCGTCTTGACGAAGAACTCACCTCGTTGCGAAAGCGTGCTATGGCAAGTTGTAGGAACTGAAAGTAAGAAATGGCTTGTGCTGCGCAAGTTGTGACGACGGTGATGACACGCTGTTATTCTGAAAAAGTTGACTTCTGCCGAGACTCAAGCCGCGATGACGAAACTTGTGAATGGCGAAACACGATGACAAGCAAAAGCACCGTCACTCAGACAAACAAATTCTTGTTCAGAAGCTCTTCCAAACACGGTAAACTCTTCAGAGCCATGTTTAAAGAATCTTGATGACTTTGTGCGCTCGAAGTATGTAAAAATATATGCTATATGAATAAAATAGAAAGTGTGCCGCTTTCATCGTAACGGTAAACTCCTGTTCTGAAAACCAAGTGCTCATAGAATGAAAAGACATGTGCATGATACATATAACATTGTCATCCATTGCTTGTGCTCCTTCTTGCTAAAGTGATCGTGCGCTGAAGTCAACAGATTCTAACTGTTAATATATGCGCACAATTTGCTGCCCATTAGTACCTGTATCATGTAGTTGCCTTTTCCTTGCAGATACAAATTCAGAATTGCCTGCAGGTCGGCGTGTTCTTAGCGCCATCTTGTTTGATTGTTCGAGCGCGAGTGGTTCGGTGACTTCATGGTTAGTTGCGCAAAAGAACGGAGACAAAAGAGGAGGCCCGACAACCTACAACCTTTATTTTTGGTCATTCAGCTGTGTTGTGTATGAACTGTACTTTGAATAGTGTAACAAGACAAATGTCCTACGATTCTTCATGATTTCTCTAAAATATTTCACGCCATCCAGGTAAAGTTCATGCTTCAGCGAAAACACCTTCCTCATACAGCTTGCTTACAGGTGTATCCTTTACTGTCATTCTTGTAGGACCACGGGCCTCCACTAGCTTCGGCTAGTATTTCGGCTTCTTAATGGGTTTACTTCTTTATGAAGCCACTAAATAAATGAAAAAAAAAGTTTCACCACTTGTAATCAAACTTCCTTGAATAGGTGATCGTGGCCGCCGTGAGTCAAGGCGTGACCGAGGTGAAGACGATGCAGATCGAGGTGACCGTGCCCAACCAGTACCCGCCTCGGTTCGAGCACCCAGTGTACCGTGCCGAGGTGCACCAGACCCGTACCCGACCCGGGTACCGGGTACTGCAGGTTCGCGCCCATGACCCGGACCCGGTGCCGTACAACGCCGAGGTCTACTACCGCCTCGAAGCCGGACCGGAGTCTACGAGGGCACTAAGGTTTGTTAACTACTCCACCAACATTTAAAAATGGGCTGTTACAGCGAAAATATACGGTGTTTTCAGCATATCATGGCGTTCGTATATACCAAACGCAACGGCGGTTTGCTGTGTGCCATTGGACGCTGTGGCAGACCACCTGTCGCGCAGGCTGCCCGTTGCTACGCAGAGCAGTACTGGTGGTGCAGTAAAGAGACTATGTAGGAATACTACGCTGCCTCTGCAGCGTAGTCTCCTAAAATATTTACTACACGGTGCTGTGGTGCTGTGATCGTTCATGGCACCGTGGATAGGATGGCTAATACACGGATTTTCCTAATCTTCGTGCTTGCGGTCTCAAGAGCTCTTTGTGACTTATTTTAATATTTAGCTTTGGAGTTTGTTTTGGATAGAATGAGGAAACGTTTGCAAACTTTCGTGAGCCGCCTTGAATTGGTGAGCCTAAAAGGTTGCGGTGGTGTAGGGAACCTGCAAAACATGAGCTGAACTTCCTCTTGGGATCAAGTGGTTCCAGGCAGCATGGAGCTAAATGGAGCCGAATGAACGAAGATCATACAAATGCCTCTATCACACAACATGCTCTTGCTGGCTTAATCGCCATGCATTGCAACTCCCATAGGCACTACCACCATAGTTCCGTCTAGAAGACATATGGGAAACTCTGTGCTGTGGAGGACATATAAACCTGACATGGAAGATGGCACGCTTGAGCACGTTTATGGCTGTGGGAGAGCTTTGTGTGAGATGGGTGGACTGATCGACATGCTCACGCCTGTGCCCCCCCCCCCCACCCTCAAAAACAACGTTCCCCAGAAGGCAACAGTTTACAACAGAAGCTCAAGCTTCCGCGTCCTTTACAGAACTTTCAAAGAAGATTTGGCAACCATAATTTTCGCCTGTCACCCATCTTCGCCGGGCAAAATGACCCGCAGTTTGCGTTTTTACTATTATATTAAACAGGGTGAGAGGCAGCGTATGTCCACGAAATAAGGTCATCTGCGCCATTAATCTGCTGGGCTGTTCCGGCTTCAACACGTAACTTATATCAGCCCATTTCAAATGAACCACGTTATACTGCTTATTTGATGGTTTAGCATATGAGGTATTTTAATATTATACTGGGCAACTTTCATTATCGGGTCGGGGACAAAAATATCAGCCGGACTATTCGTCTACTGACGGTACCTGTTACGGCAACGTGTGCTTATAAGGTGTGACGTCCTCAATAAATAATAGCATAGCAGACGATGGGACAAGGTAACCACGCTTTTGAAGGCATGCGTTTATCTTGACCCTCTTTGCCACTTTGATCCATCATTCAGTGCGTATGCGCAGAAAACTCGCCGCTCGGTTCTGACAGTTCATTATTTGAATAGCTAGCGGGGTAGCAGTAGAGTCTAGCATGATTTAAACGTTATTGTGTGAGAAACGACACTGAAATACAGGAGGGCCACGTCTGAAAAAACTGTCAAGGAGAGGATGGAAACACGCCAACTTCACTCACTGTTTTTGCTGTTCCTTAAGCTGGGATCTTTACCCTCTGAGGAAGCAGTGTCGAGCATCAGCTTTAACACGTTATTTCCAGATATTTCGTAATCACCCATCAAGATGAGAGCCCACGAAGAACACAACTTCATTGCAACTAGTGGACGACCTAAAAGGGAGAAAAATGGTGTGCATTTCGTCGTATAGGTGTGATTTTTGCGGCATGCAGCAGCTGATGAGGGCGCGGAAAATGCGCAATCTTGATTTTCACTCTTCCGAAACGTGCTGCCGGGCTCCTGGAACGTTAGGCATTTTGACTCTCGCGCGATCATGTTCATATCGCGTGCCACTGTCATCATCATCATCAGCCTGACTACGTCCACAGCAGGACAAAAATCTCTCCCATGTTCCGCCAGTTAACCTGGTCCTGTGCTTTCTGCTGCCAATTTATGCCCGCAAACTTCTTAATCTCATCTGCCCACCTAACCTTCTGTCTCCCCCTAACCCGCTTGCCTTCTCTGGGAATCCAGTCAGTTACCCTTAATGACCAGCAGTTATACCGTATACGTGCTACATGCCCGGCCCTTCTACAATTCCTCTTCTTGATTTCAGTTATGATATCCTTAACCCCCATTTGTTCTCTAATGGATTCTGCTCTCTTCTTGTCTCTTAAGGTTGCACCTACCATTTTTCTCTCCATTGCTCGCTGCGTCGTCCTCAATTTAAGCTGAACCCTCATTGTAAGTCTCCAGGTTTCTGATCCGTAGCTAAGTACCGGCAAGATACAGCTGTTACATACCTTCCTCTTGAGGGATAGTGGCAATCTACCTGTCATAATTTGAGAGCGCTTGCCAAAAGTGCTCCACCCCATTCTTATTCTTCTAGTTACTTCAATCTCGTGGTTTGGCTCCGCGGTTTGTAACCTGCCCTAAGTAGACAGTCTTTTACAACTTGAAGTGCACTATTACCTATCTGGAAGCGCTGCTCATTTCGAGGTTGTTGTACATAACTTTCGTTTTCTGCAGATTAATTTTAAGACCTACCTTTATGCTCACCTTGTCTAACTCCGTAATCATGAGTTGCGATTCGCCCCCTGACTTACTCAACAATGCAATGTCATCGGCGAGGCGCAGGTTACTAAGGTAGCCTTCATTAACTCTTATCCCAAACTGTTCCCATTCTAGGCCACCGAAAACCTCCTGTAAGTATGCAGTAAATAGCATACGGGAGATTGTATCCACCTGCCTTACACCCTTCTTTATTTTTATTCTGTTGCTTTCTTTATGAAGCACTATGGTAGCAGTTGATCCCCTGTAGATTTTTTTCAGGATGTTTATATATACTTCATCTACGCCCTGATTCCGCAATGTCTGCATGACGGCTGATATTTCTACTGAATAAAACGCCTTCTCGTAATCTATGAAAACTATGTATAGTGGTTGGTTATATTCTGAGCATTTCTCTATTACCGTACGACTGTACACTGCCCTTTTTCATGAAAGCAGGGTGCCTGCGCTCTGCTGTGTCTGCGCATACAGCACCATCAACTGACAACAAAAAAAGTGTGTCTGCTTTGGCGTCCGCTATCAGCAAACAAAATAACTATTCATGGCACTAGAATGCACTCCCGCTAAGCTATTGAACGGGTGTCGGTTTAATAACTGTCGGATGGCAGTGCTGGCAGCCGCGGCAGAGCGCAGTCCGCGCGCTCGTGAGTTCCCTTTCATGAAAAAAAAATAAACGGTGTACACCGAAATGTGATTGCCCTATTTCCTCTGTGCCGGCAGGTACGTCGCCCTCGACGGCATCACGGGCGAAGTGATGCTGAACCGCAGCCTGTCCGATGTTGGGGACTCCACGATTGAATTCACTGTCGTCGCTGAAGATGGTGGGTCCCCTATGAAGCAGGACAGAGCGCGTGTGGAAATCCTCGTCAAGACCATCTCTGGTAAGCTCTTCTGAGACGCGTTAATCAAAACTAAGCCACAATGGAGCTAAGGAAAGTAAAGCAGCTGCTATGTGCAGTACTTGCAACGTATATGTTAAGATTAAAGTGTGGGCGAAGATGCCTTGCCGCATGCAAACACCGAACCTGCAATGTTTTAATAATAGATTCGATGCTCTCGGACGCATTAGCATCGGGCGCACTATTCGAAGATTGTGGGTTTGGTACCTTCGGATGGTAAGTTATCTATTCATTGACTTCAATTTTTTTACGCTTTTATCACAACGAATCCAAATTACATCCCCTCTGCTTTCATTGTATTGATTCTGTTAATTTTCAGTAATCTTATGTCAAACAATAGTTCTTAAGTATACCCATTTTTTCGTTCATTTAAATCTCTTCAGCACACTTCAATGTCCTTTACAACGTAAAGTATTTTGAATCTTCCCTCTATACTAGGAGTCACGGGTCACACGTTGCCTGCGGAAATGTCGTAGGCCCATCTGCTAAGATTTGGGTGCACGTTAAAGAACCCCAGGTGGTCGAAATTTCTGGAGCCCACCACTACGGCGTCTCTCATAATAATATGGGGGTTTTGCGATGTTAAACCTCGCAAATCAATCAATCAATCACGCGCTGCCTGCGGGATGCACGCGACCCACCTACCTTTCGCCAGTGGCCCGCGACTCTCGCATGAGTCTTCATCCCATACTCTTTTTTTACTCTAAGACTATTGGTGGCTTGTCTTGAATATATATATATATATATATATATATATATATATATATATATATATATATATATATAACGCGTTCGATGCTCTATAACGAGCATCGTTATTCGATATATAATGATATTCGAAGGTCGCAGGTTCGGATCTTGCCCACGGCAAGTTATCTTTTCACCCACTTTTCTTTCTTCTCATTTACATTACGATTGGCCTAATAAATTCCCCTATACCTTCCTTGGCATTATTGCCTCTTAGATCTCATTAATATTGTGTAAAACACGAAAAACGAGCCCTTAAGTATATTTGAACTGGTATAGCGCATTATGGGGAAGAAGAAACGGCTGAGCAGACCGACACAAGAGGATAGAGCGCTAACTTCCAACTGAGCTTTATTGTTAAACTGCATCAAATATATAGACTGGCGCAAGCATACAAAACCACCCTAACGCAACGACAAGATAACACACAACATCACACCGTCACAAATTCCAGATTCATAGGCGGTTATTCTGATTAAGGAAGGCCACTTCATGTTCAGATAAAACCAAAGAAGGGGGGCTAATACACGTGCTGCCAGCTCTTGCTATACAATGCGCTTCTATAATTTCTGGAGTTAATTGTGACGGGTGCTTTTTTTACCACTTCGCATTGATCAAACACGGGGGTACATCCACAATCTCGGTAGTGAATTCCAATGTGGCCCTAGATTGCTTTGTGAACATTGTAATGGTGCTCTTTTAGCATTGTCGAAATTTGGGCTTGTTGGTGCATTGTGACGACTGAAAATAGCGCTAAAAAACGAGGACACAAGAAGAGGACACAGCATAGCGCCTGTGCTGTGTGTCCTCTTCTTGTGTCCTCGTTTTTTAGCGCTATTTTCAGTCGTCACAATGCTCTTTTAGCCTTTCATTAAGGCATCGCCCCGTTTGGCCGAAATACCACATACCACATGAGAATGGAATCGCGTAAACAACCCCCGCTACACACGGCACAAACCGAGTTTTGTGCTTAGTTGCGCAACCAGTGGTACGTGATTTGAGAGGGTTGACTGCTTTGCAAAGCCGCTGTAACTTATCCGGCGCTAAAAACACCACTTTGACGCTGGATTTTTCCCCTATCTTTTAAGTGGTGTTTTCAGCGCCGGATAAGTTACAGCGGCCTTGCAAAGCAGTCAACCCTCTCAAATCACGTACCACTGGTTGCGCAACTAAGCACAAAACTCGGTTTGTGCCGTGTGTAGCGGGGGTTGTTTACGCGATTCCATTCTCATGTGGTATGTGGTATTTCGGCCAAACGGGGCGATGCCTTAATGAAAGGCTAAAAGAGCACCATTACAATGTTCACAAAGCAATCCAGGGCCACATTGGAATTCACTACCGAGATTGTGGATGTACCCCCATGTTTGATCAATGCGAAGTGGTAAAAAAGCACCCGTCACAATTAACTCGAGAAATTATAGAAGCGCAAGAGCTGGCAGCACGTGTATTAGCACCCCTTCTTTGGTTTTATCTGAACACGAAGTGGCCTTCCTTAATCAGGATAACCGCCTATGAATCTGTGATATGTGACGGTGTGATGTTGTGTGTTATCTTGTCGTTGCGTTAGGGTGGTTTTGTATGCTTGCGCCAGTCTATATATTTGATGCACTTTGACAATAAAGCTCAGTTGGAAGTTAGCGCTCTGTCCTCTTGTGTCGGTCTGCTCAGCCGTTTCTTCTTCCCCATAATGCGCTATACCAGTTCAAATACGACGAACCAACTCGCCCAATCTTCAACACTCGTGCCCTTAAGTATACACTTGTTTCCCTTAAATCTCTTTAAAATATAGTCCATATATGACAGAGGTTCAAAACCCGGCCCGCGAGGCAGTATTATGCGGCGCGACATCAGAAACCCATCCCCCCCTTCCCTTTTTTATTTGTCGTTTCCTATTTTAAGGACGACATATGACATCTTAGACCTTGAGTGGGGTTAGACATTGCTTATCTTTGGCATATTGCGTGCTATTGTGAAATGTTTTCACAATTTAGCCTAAATTCAGCTAAAATTTTGGCAGTTTTGTACTTTATTGCCATTACGCCGAATTTTTCCTCTTACCCTTCAAAGCCCTCCCCCCCCTCTCCCCCCGTCACCTTGATATGCCGTGTGGGTACCGGTCTTGTCAGCTTAGTTCAAGTTGGCCTTCGGCATCAAAACGTTGCTGACCTTTGATATGTGAGATATGTCCTTTTTTAACGGCAGGAAAGCTGTAGATTCGTTAAAATTCTCTTTCTCTTCCTCCCCCGCTTCCAACTTTTCATTGTTTCGGTCTATTGCGGGACTAAATTTTCTCACTGCGGCCAGTGTGCTAATATGCATTTAGAACTCTGCTCTATACTATCGTGATCTGTTATGTCCACTACAGCACGAAGGACAGTCTAATTGGCCCTGTCTGGTGCATGCGAATTTCATTTGGTCCTTGAGAACTTCTTAACGAGGCACTTTACGCTTGCGCCGTGAAAAAAAGCAAAAAAATAATTATAAGCACGCCCTTATTGACTGGACGCTCAGTCGTAAAGTAACAAAAGGATGGCAGTGTGAGAGAAGTTAGGAGTGAGGGGAACTGCAAGCTAAGCACACATGGCTTCGCGAAAAAGGGTTGTGGGCCAAAATAAGTGCCCCCTAAGCGAATGAAGATGGCTGTTCAGTGTACACAAAGTGAGCAGAAAAAAAAAGGCCTAGTAAACAAAGTCCTCATTATAACTTGCTATACCTGTTCAACTGCGTGCGCCTCCTCTCAGACCCACAACTCGTGGTGATGTGTCGAGTTCCTCCTTGTTTTGCCGAGTCGGCTTTTGCTGAAGCGGCACTTTCTTCTTGGTTTCGCTTCCGCCTCAGCGCTGTTTTGTGGGCTGTGGTCTGCTGAGTGTGGTCTATCTTTCCACGGTGTTAGCAGGACGCCCTTGTACGTATGTTTTGCCAAGAAGCGTCTTCAGTTTCACTCTGAACTTGATAACATGGGTAAACGAAGGAACGTTAGTGTTTCTCTATACGGTGCCTATACTGCTGAGTACATCGTTTCAGTTAAAAGTGTTTTATCTATTTCACCACGTGGTAATAAAGAACCAGTAATATGGAAAATTGAGGGTGATGCAGACAGGCAAGGAAAGAATAATATTAGGTGTAACATAAAGAAAGAAGAAGATAGCACAGCGGGGTAAAGTGAAAAACGAGTGAGATGTCTCAGTCGAAATTGAGAACTGAGATCGGACCGGGGCGTGTACCGAGAAAACGAAATAACTGTGGGTTAGTCCAGGAATATTTGAAGGACTTCGGTAGCTAAACGCCTAATTTATGATCATAGGTGCTTTCACGTGTCTTGGGTGATCAAGAATAGTCGGGATGAACGATGTACCACTATAGGCGTCAACGTGGATGCAGCCACGCCAAACACGGCTGTAGCTGCCAAACACCAACGGACATTCAAAAAGCTTGCGTATTTTTTGTGAAGCAATAGTGAAAGCGACCTTTATTAGGCCCAGAAGACAAGATGAAGTGACCACATCTGAGGCACCGAACACAGGCAGGCCGAGTTCCGCCAACTGATGAAGAGGAAGGCTCTTTATGATGAACATGTATGAAAAGGTAGATGTGACTAATAAATGCCCACAGTATCAGTGCCCAAATAAACGCTCCACTAACTCGATGAAGGCACTTTTTACATTCCTGTTATACCAATTCCGACGACGGGGAGATCAAACATGTCTTCTTTTGTTTTCACTCTCATATGTCAAAAGGCTTCCGCTTGTTGTCAAGACAACGCCTGACGTATCGTAGGTGTGAACACTAAGGCGCCGAAACTTTTGAAACACTTGCGACATATTTGACGACCACGCTAGAGTAGAATGAAAACTTTCAAAAACTGAACTTGGTGAAGTGTCGCCCTCGCAGTGACCTTATTTGAGATAGAAGGAAGCAAATTAAATTTTATTCGAGATATATCGATACGGCTTCGCGTCAGATTTTCGCAAAGTCTTTATTCAGCACGAAATTCGGGACACGACGTCCGGAGCGACTTTGGCGAGAAGGCAGGGTTGGGTTGGCCGGCGAAATTCGCTCGTCTCGTGGGGGACAGCGCAACTGAGTTGATATAGGCAAGATTCAATAAAGCTAGCGGACCGCACCTGGGACCTCGCGCATATACGAGTCTCCTAATTTGATTTCTTGGAGGAATATTTCGCTACGGAATCGAATAAAAGGCGTACTCCCTCGAGGATATTGCTTTTTGTGAGCGT